AGAAAATTAGGGACTAGGGTTCACCCATTAGAGGTTAGGGTATGTATCATGCCCCAAACTCTGGTTAATTCATGTTCTATATAGCAAAACTCAATGGTGCGTACGCTAAGTTAGCGTACGCCCGGGCGTATGCTAGCCTAAACCATATATATATATATATATATATATATATATATATATATATATATATAGTGCCTTCTACGGTACCCCGGGTGAAATCCGGGATACCGCATACCTTGAGTATGAAAACGCTATCTAAACCTCGAATTAGCAGGATTTTTGGGCATGATACTATAACCTAACCCTTATTGAGTGAACCCTAGGTGCTAATTATCTAAATCATAAACTATAAACCCTAAGATGGTGCATTAATTTTTTTGCCTATATTTGGACGAATCATAACTGTCGATTATTTTTTCTAATTAAATTGATCTTGGAATATAAGATTTAGAGAATTAAGACCTAGATTTTGATCTTTAAGGGTTTAGAGTATAGTTTCATGTCCGAAAGATCAGTCAATTCAAGTTCTGGATAGCGTTTTCTTACTCAAGATATGCGATACCCTGGATTTCACCCTGGGTATCGTAGAACTCCCTATATATATATATGGTTCAGGCTAGCGTACGCCCCATAGAGTTTTGCTATTTATATCATGATTTAACAAGAGTTTGGGGCATGATACTATACCCTAACCTCTAATGGATGAACCCCATTCCCTAATTTTCTAACCCAAACCATGAGATTCGTTTAATCTTAAAATGAAAATCAATGGTAATTTCGACGAATCAGAATCGTTGATTTTCATTTTAAGATTAAACGAATCTCATGCTTTGGGTTCGTGAGTTGGGGATTGGGATTCACCCATTAGGTGTTAGGATATAGTATCATGTCCCAAACTCCGGTTAATTCATTGTCTAAATAACAAAACTCAATGGGGCGTACGCTAGCCTTTGCCATATATATATGGTAACTACTTCAGTGCACTCACAAAAATGGGTGCGTTCAATGCACCCAACTCAAAAATTAGTCTTAAGGTGTCGGATGTTGAATTTTAATTTGTAGAATCAGTGTAATATGATGATATAACGTATGATAACAACTAATTAGCCGATTACCCTAAGCCTTAGACCTCCAATTTTGAGTTCTATCACAAACCCCAAATTGTAAACCCTAACCCTAACCCTAAATCTCTAAACTCTAAATCCTTCAAATTAAAGTAAATCTTCAATGGTTTTTGTGCAAATTCATGTGCGTTATTGTTCATCACATCACAAGTGATGATTGACATAATTTTTACATAAATCGCATGTTTAAAATGATGGTTATGAAGTGAGTGCACTGAACGCACCCAAAAAAGTGAGTGCACTGAAGACGCCACCATATATATATATGGCGGTGTATTCGATGCAACCACTTTTTTGGGTGCACTCAATGCACTCGCCTCATAATCATCATTCCGAGCACGTGACTCATGTCAAAACGGTATCAATCGTCGCTTATGATATTATGAACAATAAACACATAGATTTGCAAAAAAAATTCATTAAGATTTACTTTAATTTGAAGGATTTAGGATTTACGGATTTAGGGTTAGGGTTTATGTTTATAATTTGGGATTTTGGTTTGGGATTCATAATTGAAGGTTAAGGGGTTCGAGTAATGGCTTGATTAGTTGTGATTTTATGTTATATCATCATATTATACTAATGCTATCAATTAAAATTCAAAATTCGATGTATTGTAGCCACTTTTAGAGTTGGGTGCACTGAACGCACCCAAAAAAGTGAGTGCACCGAAGTAGCCACCTATATATATGTATGGTGGTGTATTCGGTGCACCCACTTTTTTGGGTGCATTCAATGCACCCGCCTCATAACCGTCATTGTAAACATGTGATTTATATCAAAATGATGTCAATCGTCACTTAAGATGTGATGAACGATAAAGCACATGAGCTCGCACAAAAATCCTTCAAGATTTACTTTAATTTGAAGGATTTAGACTTCAGAGATTTAGGGTTAGGGTTTATAATTTGGGATTTAGGGATATAATTCCAAATTGGAGGTCTAGAGCTTAGGGTAATCCATTAATTTGTTGTGATCAAATGTTATATCATCATATTACACTAATTCTCCAAATTAAAATTCAAAATTTGACACCTTAAAACTAGTTTTTGAGTTGGGTGCATTGAACGCACTCATTTTTGTGAGTGCACCGAAGTAGTCACCATATATATATATATATATATATATATATATATATATATATATATATATATGGTGAGTTCTATGGTACCCTGGGTAAAATCCAGGGTATTGCATACCTTGAGTATGAAAACACTATCTAGACCTTGAATTGACCGATCTTTCGGACATGATACTATACTCTAGCCCTTAAAGATCAAAATCTAGGTCTTTATTCTCCCAATCTTATACTCCATGATCAATTGAATTAGAAACAATAATCGATGGTTATGATTCATCCAAATATAGGCACAAAAAGGAATGCACCATCTTAGGATTTATAGATTATGATTTAGATAATTAGGACCTAGGGTTCACTCATTAAGGGTTAGGGTATAGTATCAGACCCAAAAATCCTGCTAATTCGAGGTCTAGATATCGTTTTCATACTCAAGGTATGCGGTACCCCGGATTTCACTCGGGGTACAGTAGAAGGCACCATATATATATATATATATATGGTGGCATCTTTTTTTTTCGTCTTTGGTGCACTCATTTTTTTTATGCATACAATGCACTTGCCTCATAACCATCATTTTAAACATGCGGTTTATGTCAAAATGAAGCCAATCATCACTTGCACAAAAATCATTCAATATTTACTTTGATTAGAAGGATTTAGGGTTTAGAAATTTATGGTTGGGATTTAGGATTTACAATTTGTAGCTTAGGGTTAGGGTTCGAAGTTAAAGGTTTAGGGCTCGGGATAATGAATTGATTAGTTATGATTTTATGTTATATCATTATATTAGAATAATCCTATCCATTAAAATTCAAAATTCAAGGAGTAGTTTTAAAATTGGTTGCATAAGTTGCACTCATTTTGTGAGTATATTGAAGAGAAGTAGTCAATGTCTTGAGAAGTTTAAGTAGCGTTAAACACCCACCCATATATAAGTCAAGCAAATGGAAAAAGGTTAACAAGACAGTAGAAGAGCGCACTATACGACAAAGCATAGTGGAGTGAGATGGGGTAGCGCTGCTTTGGCTCTTTCTAATCTTTTTTGAAAGATGGAATTAACATACGATACCAATATATCTCGATCACAGACAAAACTCGTTCACGGGCAATTCCCAGACTGCCTCTGCATTCTTATATTGGACCAGGCAGCGCCCTATTTACAAACAAAAAAATATATATATATTGTCTTCAAATTTACATAAGGATTATTTTAGAGTCGACTGTGTTGTTTTTTTATGTTCATGAAGGAAGGGAGGAAAAGGAGGGAAGGGTAGGAAAATTTGGAGGGGAGGTTAAGTTTGGAAGGGAGGGAAATTAGAGGGAATTGCAAAGAAAATGTTGTTTAATGGAGGAAAGTGGAAGGGAAAGTGGGAGGGAAAAAATAGATTGGGAATTGTGATATGTATTATATTTTATTGATGATAGAATAGTTAAATAATTTAATTATGTTTTTATACTATTTACATTAATTATGTAATGTGGATCAAATTTGTTCTTCTTTGTTAATTTTGTTAACTACAACAAATCAAAAGTTGGTTATTTGAATGAAATTTGTCAACCTATTACTAAAATTTTGTTAACTATTTTATTGAGTAATAACATAGCAACTAAATATATAAACATACAACAAATTACAGATACATAAATTTGAGGAGCGTAACAAGTTTTTATATCTCATACAACAGTGTTATGTATGGTGCAAAACAACGTCACGTATGAGGTAAATCATCTATCTTGTTTGGTATGAAAGTGTGTATTGGGAATTGTGATAAATATGTTATTTTATTGGTTATATAATATTAAAATAATTTGATTATATGTTAATATTCTATGAACTTATGAATTGTTAATCAAATTTGTGCTTTCTTTCTAAATCGCACCAGAGATTGTACCGGAAAAAAATTAGTGGTTGGGTATTTTATTGTAAAATTGTGATTTAACCACATCAATTATTTAAAAATAGAGACTTTAGAATAATTGATCAAGCATTCTAAATCAATTAAATTTATTCAACTATTCTAATATGACTTTCATTAATGATCCGCTATTCTCATACCGAACATACCGAACCATTGCATATTCCGAATAAGCCAAAGATTAATATTTTTGCTCAAAACCGTAATTTAATAGTGGTACCATAGTTTTATAAGAAACATTAAATATCTAGATATTTTTTAATAATCATAACTATCTTTTTCTAAAATTAAGGACAATTATCTTTCCTAAAACATTATTCACACGTTATAGCCACACCTAATTACATGGAAAAAAAAGTAAACCTGCTACAACAACTTACAACTCAGTAGGAAAAAAATGTTAAATAAAAGTCATAAGCAACCAAAACACCTTCCCTTCCTTTTCTCTCCATTTTGGAGGGATCAGTAGCACAGTATTTTTTTTGTCTGGTTTTCCTCTCTCCCTTACTGTTCTCAATCTAAAAAACAGGGGAAAGCTTCTTAGGAATGCTGCTTTCCACCCAATTCCTACCCTCCCCTCCTTTTCCTTTGCAAATGAACACAGTTAAATTTTATTGTAACCTGTGCTAGAGTCAGACTGTGTTCACTGAGAGTAGTACTCAATATTATCACATAAGAAACATACAGCTAATTATTCATAAAAAAAAAAACATACAGCTAATTTTCCAAAATAACTTGATATGTCAAATATTTCCAGTCAAAAGGTGGGATGGATCATGGCATTTTCCCAGTTTCAAAGGTTTATATGACTTTTCCGTTGAAAGGGATGCCCACTACGAACGATGCCGAAAAAGAACAAAAAGGGAGGAAAAGGGCGTCTAGCTCGAAATGATTGCAAGCATAATTTTGAAAGATTATTTCTTTCTGGCGATGCACGATTCTGATCCCTCATTCACCCACTTTTAACCTCACGTCCATTGCCCAATAAAGTACCCACCTCCATCCTTTCATTCACCCACTTTTCCACCATCCAGAATAATGCTAAATAGCCGAAAAAACATGAAGATACTTAAAGAAGCATAGGCTAGGATATGATACCTTGGATTTCAATCATACAGATCACAGTTACAAGTCCAGGTCTGAAACTCAGCAATGCACCAAACTAAGGGGAAAGAGAAGGGAGGGAGGGGGCATCGCTCGCTCTCTCAGCTTTCCATGGCGGGGAAAAAAAGACATGAAGCGGAGAGCTTAAGCATGAAGCCGGAGGTGTGAGTGTACAAGGTTCATTCGCAGAAAGTTAGTAAACGATCCAGACAGTGGAGGTAAAAGAGGTAAGAAAGATTAAACTGTTGGTCACGGAGCAGATGAACCTGCAGGCAGGGAACTCTCCAGTGTGTTCCGGACGGCCAATGCTGCAGCCCTGTACCAGGCAGCTGCAGCCATAGCTCCTGGATCAGGAACTGATGCAACTATCTCAGGCGACACGTAACTCGACCGCCCAGCCTGCAATTCGTGTTGTATCAGAATACTTGAATTGTATACAAAGTGGAAATTATGCAGAGAAGTGAAAATATGGAGCAGGTAAACCAAACTTCTAAATTATGCTGGGCCATATTGTTTCGATTATCACAATTCTGTGCAACAAGAAAGCAATGAGCAGAGGGAGGTTGATGATTGGAAGGGGTTCATAAGATTTCTGTTTCTTTTCTAAGTTACCTGTGCTTGCATCAGTTTGGTTGATTCAGCACCAGCTAAGGCTGCTTCTGAAGAAAGAACAAAGGCAGTGACAGGATCATCCCCGGCCTTTAACCTCTGTTGTAGAATAGTTTGATTGTTATAACCATAAACATAACAAAATAGAAAATTTACAAGGATCGTTTTTAACAGACCTGCTGCAAAGCTTGAGAGGCAGGAATAAGAGCATCCAGCAATGTCCGAAAACCAGCAATAGCACCACCGTATTTACTCACTGCAGTAGTTGAAGCTTCCAGCGCTTCAGCCCCTGATCCAGAAAGGAGAGTTAGGGTTATGGGCGTTGGACCAAGGACTATTGGATTCGGATTCTCAACTTACAATGATTTGATGTAACATCTGACTGTCCATTTGCTTTCAAGCTTGCATACGCTGCCTTACAAAGTATAGTGTACCTGCGTCAAAAAGCCAAATGCAGGTTGATTACTTAAATGAGAAAATTATGATAACTGTGGAAAGTAAAAAGGGAGCAAAGAAATGAAGCAACCCAAGTACATTATCCCACTTGTTCCACCCATAACTCTGCTAATAGATGATCCCATTTCGTTTACTGTTTCGGCAGCATCGTTTAGAGGATAGCTGGCCAAAAAAAATGTAGCATATCAATGAAAGAAACAATATACGAATGACAAGGATTCTGAATATGTTTCAGGATTATTCTACCAATCATATCAGGGAAACCTAATCAAGTGCAATAACTTTTGATTTGAAAAGTAACTCTGTACAGTAGAGTTGTTATTGTCATCACATCAAGGAATATGCATTTATTCTGTGGGAACCAGTTGAGAAAATTTTCAAGAAGGCCAACAAGCAAAATCCTCTCCAAGGAACATATCAAATGTGTTGATGCTCGAGCCCAAATCAAAGGTTTCAACGAAAATAAAAGAAATTCAAATCAAAGAACAAACCGGAACAGACTTAAGTTTCATGATGGCAAGGTTGTTTTATTGCCCAAAGCTTTTTGGTAGTAGCGTAGTATGCAAGACAACTTACTATTTCTTCAGATCCTCAAGAATTGCTGTTGCGCCCCTGTACATCTGCAACAAAGATGAATTTGGCCATGTTATGAGAAATCCTTGAATATGTGATTGCAAAAAATTATCACCGAAACTAGAAAATACTTACAGTTGATCCACAATCACCATCACCTACTTTGCTGTCCCATTCATTCAATGGATCCTTAAGGTTTACAACTGCAGTTGCTGCTGCCTCAATAGCCACCTCGAGAAGGATCCCTTGTTTGCTCAGCTGAACTGGCCGACACAAGGACTAATAGATGCAACAATGTGGAATCAGAAAAACATTACTAACCTCATACTAGGTTGCAGCACCTCATACTAGGTTGCAGCTCAAGGCGAACTACTCAGTTTGCTCATACTTGGTAATAACTACTCTATGAAACTATTGCAAAAGGACCGTATACCAAATTTAGAGGAATTGAACATAATATTTTCTTCATAGGACACAAGCAACTTTTCCTTCTTAGTTATCCGGAAGGGGTTAGTTAAGCACGGATTATGACATCCATCCGATGTTAAATTTCGGAGGCCAATGTTAAAGCCTATAGCAAGACTTAGCATCATATCACTGTTGGCGAAATTAACAATTTAGACCATAGCTTGTAAGAAATGAAAACTTAGGTCCCCACTGTTAAAGCCCCCATTAAATGACAACGGGAGCAAAGAATACCATTAGGTTATAATGTGAATTACATTTCCTTGCGTATTTTGTTTGCTTTGAGGGGAAAAATTTACTGAAGGACCAATTCAGTAAAAAAAGCTCAGACTCTAGAGAACAAAATGAGAATACTACTTTCCATATAAAGAAAATGCAAACATACCACGTCACTTCTTGCCGAAGGAGACTGTGGAAGTGGAACAGGTATCTTTGCTGGTGGACGATTGCCTGTATATGAAGATTCCATGAAATCAATTAAGAATGTTCGACCAAGTCTGGGCAGGCATGGAAAATTGCCTGCTTGAATATTCTAATCAGCTCTTATTAACAGCTTCAGAGCAGTTTTACCATAAAACATGACCAGTTTATGTCAATACAGAATCATCATAGAGATCACCCTTATGCATAAGAAACAAATAGGATGAGAACAAAAAGGAAAACCATAGGAGATTTATTTGAAATATATCACAGACCATCTACACCAACAGGCCAGTATGGTGCAGTAGTTGCAGCGTCGAGGCGTTGCAGAATAGCTTGATCGGCCTTCATTATAGTAATTGAAAATCCTGAATAAATAAGCCATTAGCAAGAGGTATAGAATTCATTTAAATTTTCTGGTTTCATTAGAGTCAGACCTGCCATGTCGAGCGAGGTCATAAACGACCCAGTATACACTCTTTCTACAGCCAATCCATGTTCAAGCTGCAGTTGAGGGACTGCTTTCCCAGCGGCAATCATTAGCTCCATGGCAGGGGTCGCACCTAATCTGCCGAGACACATTACAAATGAATATGTCATGGGAACTAACACCAAGGATGTTCACTCTAAACAGAGCAAAAAACCTAGGTTGAAGCCTAAGTAGTCTGCTAGAAGAACTAATGATCTAAATTTCAACTATCTAGGTGATGTGCTAGTAAGTGTAACATTATAAAGATCATAAATTCTAGCAGCACAGTCACACGTAAAAGGGGTGCTTGATATTAAACATAAAAGACCAGATATACAAAGCCTACCCATTGACCATGAGCACCACTCGACTGCCCCGGGTAATTGGAACGTAATTAGTTTCCTGGAACAGTAAGATGTTACAAATGGAAGGATAATAGAAGTATCATCGAAAATTATTCACAAAGTTGCAGACTACAAATTAGTACTCTTACCATATTGGGCAATATATGAATGCAAAACACATCATCTCAAGAATCACAAACTGACATAAATGTGGCCCCTAATATCTTTCATTACATGGATGCACAAATAGAATACGTTCAGAATAGCTATTGTTTTATTAGTATGAACATTTGACTGGGAATTTTCAAACAGTCGGCACTTAGTCTCCAGTGATTGGTCTTTCGGCTTTATGAAAGACTATCTTGCTCACAATTAATGAAAGATAAATAACCAAGCATGAACTCTTGAAGCATACCGCAGAGAGAATTTGCTTAAGAACATGAGAGACCACAACCGCAACAGGCTGAATGTCGGCAACTGCGGCACCAGGTTCGCCATGCTGGAAAAGTAGAATTGTAAAAACAGAATACTCAAAAAAGTTGAGAACAAAAAATGACGATGCTCCATCAATATTACCAGCTCATGACACTCATTTTGTTCTATTACATGCAATTTGGTAATTATCATGAACATTTGATTGAATTGAGTGGTGAAGTAGGCTAGTCACTCACAATTCCAAGCCCAAGTTCCATTTTTCCGGATCCTAGACGATCTGGTGTGACTTGCCCTGGCAGTGTGCACACTGACAATGCGACACCCATGGTTCCAACTAATTCAGATGCATGCCTTGCTTCTTCAGCAACATCCTCAAGAGGAAGTCCAGCAGCCGCAGCAGCACCAGCAACCTTCCAGAAAGAACAAAGTAACGATTTAACATTCTTACACTACAATACCCAACTTTATTAACAAAGAAACATCATAAGAACACAAGCAAACACCTAGACACAATTCCTCAAACTCATAACGTCCCACTACACAACAGGAGTGGAAATATATACATATGCTGAGGGAGGGAGGACGGCTGGCAAGATGGAGAAAGAAAGAGATAGTGACCTTATGTACTAGAATAGTCCCTGCCAAACCTCTTCTACCAGCAATGCCCCGTGGTGGAGGTAAAGCACAGTCATCTCCAACTATTACAGACTGCAAAGCAAATTCAAAGTAACTGATGAACTTCAGGCAAGCCAGTTATCGTCTTATGAATGAAAAGAACATGGAGTAAATTAATTACTACCTCTACTTTATAACCTTCAGATTTTGCCTGCTCAGCAGCCAATCCAAAATTCAGACGGTCACCAGTATAATTCTGTCTCCACAAATATATCACTAATCATATATCTTCCCCAATGTTGAGATGCAGCAGTCAGCATTGATTTGATAGTTTCTTTCCAATATGATAAAGTCCCACAGAAAATACAATAGCTACATTATCAGCTTTAGTTTACAGAAATCTACCTTGACAATTAGAAGACATCCCATGGGACCAGTTACAGCTCGAATGCCCTAAAGTTGAATAATGTTAGAGCAGAAACATCTCAAAGATGGGAACTATATATTATGAAATATATAAAATAAACAAAAAAACATACAGCTAGGATTGAATCTACTTGTGGTGATGCAAACACATCTCCACATATAGCAGCAGTGAGCATCCCTTCTCCAACAAAACCAGCATGAGCAGGTTCATGGCCGCTTCCACCCCCTATATAAGGCAACACAGAAATAGTAATTGCTCAATATTTATATATTTCTGTTGCAAAAGATGGCAAACAGGCCATTGAGCAGCCATCACAATCGGAAATCGGCAAAGTATTTCGAACCGCAATAGAACATGACAAGAATCTGGAGCCACTCTCTTGGTTGGATTAGGATGAACAATTACATAACTCTCCCAATTCTCTGCATTGGGTGAACTGTAATAGAACATGAAGACAATTGAACAAGCCATATCTCGCCTAATTGTCTGCAGAAGATGAACTGTAATAGAGCACCATAACAAACCTAGCTTTACCTTCCTTTTTTTTAGCCTATTGTATTTTACTATTATTTTCCTCCCTATGCCGAACATTTTCCCACCCCATTCCATCAGCACTTGTAAAAAATTTAGGCATTCATACATCAATTCGGTGCATGTGATCCAAAGTTAACCATTTCTTACATCCTTATTTGAGGAAGCTGTCTGAACATGAGAGAATAGCTCAAGTGCAAGCAACAAGAAAGTAATAAGAAATAAAAGCAGGAATAGTTATATTCTAGATTATGGCAGAAGTAGCTACTGGCTAGCCCTTGCAAGTGAGAAAGGCAACTAACTAGGACCTTAAATGAACAAAATTATGAATTCTTTTGCACATGGGTCAAGGATAAAGGACGTATAGAGATAACCGTCATTTTCCTCAACCAGAGTAGCAACCAAACATGAGGTGTAAAGTTCAAAGCAATTAATTGCAGGTAAGAACAAGTATACTTCACTATCTCAGTTCTCAATACTGGAGATATTTTTTCCTTCTTTTTTTCTCTCCAGAGGATGCGGTCTACGTCGCAAGGACAGGAAACCACCTACTCTAATTCAAAGCATGGCCGGGGACATATCAGTCACTTCAAGGCTGGTATGCAAGGTTGGGGAAACAGAACATAAAACTGAAACATTTTCAATAGTAATAAACCTGATATGATTGCAACTTTGTCATTTTTGGCACCAGCAACATCAGCACGTAAAACAACCTTGACCTGCAGTCCACAAGTGAAAAGTGAAGGCTATGAGCATCACTTTGAGTGACAAATAAAGTTTCTATTGAGCTAAGAATTCACCTCTGGGAAACCATCCAGATATTGCATCCCAGGATAGGACTCCACAAGACCCTCAATAAACTCTGTCACAACATCTGCAACCATGGATCAATAAAAATGACATATCCAGGTTAAGATCCACATAACAGATAACAGAGCTGAACTTATATTTCATCAACAACAGTTTCAGTGCATCACATGCAGTATCGACCAGTTAATGATATCAGAAACAAGCAAACACTTCAATAGTTTTAACTCTCTGCTAATATGTATACCAGACTACCAGGAGAAATCAGCATCACGAACCAGCTATTTCAGTTGTTTCAACTCTCTGCTAATAATCTACAAGCCTAACCCGTAGAACTAGTGAATAAACCTTATTATGAGCTATTATCCACTCAAGATCCAAGACAAAGAACCACAGGTGCATGTGATTTCGCATTGCTTGGTAGGGCGCAGACCAATAGTTCGTCAAGAGAATAGTCCAATGAGCTATACTTTGTTGAGAACTCCGTCCTCGTTTCACTACACGCGCGATTCTAGTTACGCACAGCAATCTCAAACTTCTTTAGAAACTCGAGTGCAATTCAAAGCAACAGTTCGATGTTTCCTCAAATTCAGAAAAGAAATCATCCAAACAACGGCGACAGTTTTTCCTTCGTTTTCTTTGCGTCCAAACACAGAGCTAGGAAGAAATAACGAAATACTACTCAAGAACCGAAGGACGGACGGAATGCTGAAAATGTACGAACCATTGGGGTCGTTGATGAGCTTCTTGCCACAAGACGCCATTGCCAGCGCTTCGCTTCGCTTCTCCGGCGTCCACAGGGAGATGGAAATGAACTTCGTCGAACGTCGCGACTTTGCGAACAGAACGAAATTGCGAGGCAGAGATAGACTGGGAAAAGCTCGGCTGGAGCCGTGAAGGTTCTTCTCCTTTTTTTCCTTCGTCGACCAAGTGCGACGGAGGGAGCCGAAAGGGGGACTGGAAAACTTACAAAGCACTACTACTGGACTGGGAAACTTGTAAATTGGTTTTTCTGTTTGGCCGTTTTCCCCTTTTTCTTCTTATCGCAGCTTTTGCACGAACAGATTTTCTTTTTTCCATTTTTCCACACGGTGGCGGCATTAAAAATAATTTTCTTTCTTGGGTGATGTGCCCAAAGTGCCCTTGGTTTTGCTGTGAATTTACCCCTTCGGTTGATACATCTTTATGAGGATCATCTGGTGACACGTGTCCATGATATATATTGCTAAACTCACATTTATTTTGTACAATTTATTTGTCACTAAAATTTAATTAATAAGGTCAAATTGATAGATGAAAAATGGATTTCCAACACATGTGTATGCGTTATTAAGAGTGTGTACAAGTCTACAAGACAGGAGTTAGTCTCACTACACTAGTCACTAGTAACCAACTTGAATAAATAATTTGATAAGTGACTAAAAATGAAAAAACAACAAAGGATAGATATAGATGTTCATTAGCAACTATATTGTGGCCGGCCATCATCAGAGAATTTTTTATAGTTATTCTGAAGTTGTAACATATATGTATTTGAAATAAATTATAACTACTGTAGGGGAAAAAAATTATAGCTAAATATCAGGGACGGAGCCAAGATTTCAATTAGGGGGAGCCGAATTTTTTTCCTACATATATAGTGATGAAGAAAATTGTTGGGGGTGTTCAGATCAGAGAAGGCCCTGACACGTGGTTGAGTTGAGCCTAGTAAGAGGGATGGGGTCCAAGTAGCCCGAGAAGAGGCGGGGCCTGTATGTCTAATTGAGACCCGGAGGTGGGTTCAAGAAAATGATTTGGGCAATGACCAATGCATATCGGCTTGGGCAGGAAAGGCGTGTCGATCCGGGCGCCTGATGAAGCAGGGACGTGGGTAAGTGTGCGTTAGGCGCCTGGTGTGCGCCTGGTAGTTATGAACGCCAAAACAGACGCCTAGAATCACTCTTACATTAAATGCGGTGGTGACGTGGAAGTCCGTGCGAGGACCACCTCTTTGGGTGCAGGTGGTTCCACGAAGGCAAGGAGTTCGGTGCGTGAAGGAAGTTGGTAGATCGAGGAGGCTTCAACAATTGGCGCGCCAGGAAGGGGAGCGAGACAAGAGTGGGCGTAGTCAAGTAACAGAAGAAGAGGCATCTTTGAGACAATGGAAGACGGCGGAAGTGAAGTCGACGAGCAAATCATGGCAGAGGTGTCCCAAGAAGTAGGGGAGCGGACGCCCAGTAGAAATGAGGAGGAGGGAAGCGAGGACCAGCACCCGAGCTCGGATGAAGCCTCAATCACTAAGAAGGATTTGTTCAAGATCATAGCTGATCAGGATGTAGCCATTGGGGTGCTGCGGAGGGAAGTAGAGATGCTGAAAGAAGGGGCGCCTAGTCCAACGACGAGGAAAAGAGAGAGGACGCTGGAGGCTGAGGGGGAGTCTAGTTCACTGAGGCGCCTAGCTAGCATGAGATGCCAGGCCGAGTACGGGGACTATGAAGGGGAAAGGAACGTGTGGATGCAGGGGCGCCCGCCTCGCCAATTTATGGTAAGACAGCCGTTGGCGAGAGCGTGCTCCCTGAGCCAGCCAGTACCAACATCCCGCCACTCCCGTCCTATGATGGCACGGCAGATCCGGATGATCACCTGAATATCTACTTCACCAAAATGCAGTTGTATAACAGCACGGACGCGACCTTGTGCAAAGTGTTCCCCTCGACCTTCGCGGGCGTATTCCTGGACTGGTACCATCAGATTGAAGAAGGACGCATTGAGTGCTTCGAGCAATTTGCGGCTATGTTTTTGGCCAAGTTTGCGAGCAGGAAGCGTCGTACGCTAACCGTAGGCGCCTTGTTCAAAATCAAGCAGAAGGAGGGAGAAACTTTAAGGGAGTTTTATGAGCGATGGATCCCGGTAGCGATGGCAGTAAAAGATGTACACCCCCCGGTACTTGGGGTCCTTCTTGAAGAATGCACCACGAGTGAAGAGCTTTGCAGGGCGCTGGCTAAAAGAGATGTGATATCCACGGAAGACTTGGATCGTAGGGTGCAAAAAGTCCTTGTGTTGGAAGAGACGTTGGCGGCAAGAAGGGCTGATAGGCGCCGCCCGAAAGGTGAAGAAGGAGAAAGGGTGCGAAGACAGGCGCCCGAGCCTAGACAGGCCTATGGAGGGGTACCTTATGGATCGACGAGGAGAAATGAACAGGGGCGCCCGACACCCAGGTTGAATACGTTCACAGAGCTCAATGACTCACCAAAGAATGTGCTGCAGTAGGTGAAGGATAAGGGGTACCATATGAGGTGGCCAGGGCCCATGAGAGGGCAACCCAATCCACAGAATTTGGATCGATATTGCGACTTCCATCGGGAGCGGGGGCACAATACGGTCGATTGTTATCAGCTGAAAACCGAGTTGCAATGGTTGGTGGACAGGGGCATGCTCAATGAGTTCGTCAAAAAACCAGAAGATAAGGTGCACCGAGCGTACGTCACCCATGAGGAGCCTAAGGTGGATCTGCTCCCACCTCCTTTTGAGCTGGACCAAGAGAAGGCGCCCGAGAAAGTAAGGCTTACGGTGGAGACGTTCACCGGCTCGATAGACTTGAGGGACAAGCTAGAGGCTAGTAGGCGCCTGAGAGCAGCATCGGTCGGCATACAAGAAGGGGTGTGCATTAGTTTCAACCAAGTGCCTGACGAAGCCTATGGCGTGCCCTCCTTAGAGGCCCTAGAAATTTAGGGGATAGTAGCCAGGTGCACCGTGAAGAGAATGCTTGTGGATACAGGAAGTTCCATGGATGTGTTGTTCAAAGACACGGTGGCACGCATGCATTTGTCACCAGACCTGATATGACCGACGGACTCAGTGTTGATAGGGTTCTCTGGGGCGCCTGCAAAAATTATGGGGCACGTGCGCCTACCCGTAACATTGGGTGACGAGGAACAGAGGGTCACGCACACTATTGATTTCGGGATCGTGGATTGTCCATCTCCTTACAATGCGATACTCTGAAGGCCCCTCTTAGCCCTATTTAATGGGGTGGCGTCTACTTGCCATCAGACGATGAAGTTCATAGCGCCACAAGGAGTGGGCATTTCCCGGGGAAGAGGCGCCCCAATTTACGCCTAGCTGAAGAATGGGCGGCCGCGAAAGAATCAAAGAGTGAACGCGGTCACAACAGAGGAAGCGCCCAGGGCCGAGGCGGCCGATGAGGAGTTGATGATTCCCCTGGATGAGGGGCGACCCGAAAGGCAAGTAAGATTCTCAGCTCAGGCGCCTCAGGAGATGGTGGAAAAGTTGGTTGCTTTGTTAAGGGAGTTTGCAGAGCTGTTCGCGTGGAGCGCTAAGGAAATGCCGGGAGTGGCGCCTGAGACAGCGGTCCATAGGTTAGCAGTAGAAGTGGGAATGAAGCTTGTTCAACAAAAAAGGAGGAACCTATCTCAGGAGAAGGAGGCTATGCTCAGAGTGGAGGTGGATAAGCTCCTGGAAGCCGGTTTCGTGGAAGAAGCAGCCTATGTGACGTGGCTATCCAATGTGGTGTTCGTCCCGAAGCCGGCAGGAGACTGGAGAATGTGTGTGGATTTCACAAGTCTCAATAGGGCGTGTCCAACGGATGCATACCCGATGCCCCGCATTGACCTACTAGTGGATGCCACCGCATACCATGAGATGCTCAGCTTTCTTGACATGTTCTCAGGGTACCATCAAATCCCTATGGCCGAGGAGGACCGGTTGAAGACAGCTTTCATGACACCCTCCGGAAACTTTTGCTATAGGGTCATGGCATTTGGGTTAAAGAATGCGGGTGTCACTTACCAACGTATGGTGAATACAGTCTTCCAGCGACAGACTGGGCGAAATGTGGAGGCATATGTGGACGACTTGATAGTCAAGAGCCGTAGGCGGAATGATCACCTATGCGATTTAAGGGAGACATTCGAAACCATGCGCCTGCACAACCTTCGGCTCAACCCCCTCAAGTGCGTATTCGAGGCGGAAGCGGGCAAGTTTCTGGGCTTCATGATTACCAAAAGGGGGATAGAAGCCAATCCAAAGCAGGTGGATGCTATCATCAAACTTACACCGTCGAGGACGCCCAAAGAAGTGCAATGCTTGGCAGGGAGACTCGTCGCGTTGGGGCGCTTCATACCAAGATCGGCTGACAAGGCTACCCCGTTCTTCAGGGTGCTCAAAAAGGCCGTCCGCTTCAAATGGGATGAGGCGTGCAATGAAGCATTTGAAGAGATGAAGCGCCTTTTGGCAGCACCCACAGTGATGAGGTGTTATACTTGTACATCGCGGTCTCGGAAACGGCAGTGAGCGCGGTGTTAGTATCAAGAGAGGCGCCTACGGGAGTAGAGAGGCCAGTCTATTATGTAAGAAAGACCATGGGGCCCCATGAAAGGCGGTATGCGCCCATCGAAAAGGCTTCTTTGGCGGTCGTGACCACTGCCACCAAGTTGCGCCCGTATTTCCAGGCGCATGCCGTTGTTATACTCACTAACCTACCACTCAAATCCACCTTGGGTTCCATGGATGTGGCTGGGTGCCTCGGTAAATGGGCTGTGCAGCTAAGTGCAGCTAAGTGAGTTCGATATCAGATATGTGTCCCGACCTGCCATCAAGGCTCAGGTACTTGTTGATTTCGTGGCCGAAGGAGTAATGGAGGTTGAAGGGGCCGACGATGAGACGTGGCAGGTCCAAGTGGATGGGGCGGCGAGTAGAATTGGTGCCGGAGAAGGAATAGTAATTATCAGCCTCATGGGGGTCATGCACGAGATTGCTTTGCGATTCGCGGAGCTCAAAACTAACAATGCCGCCGAGTATGCAGCGGTCGTCGCGGGGCTTCGCATGGGGCGAGAACTAGGCGCCCAAAGTGTTTGTGTCAAGTCAGAATCGGCTCTTGTGGTCAACCAACTTGATAGACCGATAATTACACATGTTTTTACCCTTATTCTTGAGCCGTTTGAGATGTTGATTCTCGTGTTTTAAGCCGATTTCACGCTAGGTTGTGCGTTTATGTCATATTTCAGGACCCGGCGTT